GTTGGTGGTGGTGATGCTGGTGTCGGTCAGGTACTGCTGGAGTCGGTCGTGCTGCACTGGTGTTGCTTGACTGGGTCGCTGGCTGGGTCGCTGGCTGGCCGTGGTCGCCTCCGCCGCCTCCGCAGCCGCCTCCGCCGCCTCCGCCGGTCGCACCGCCTCTGTCGTCCCTCCCCGCTCCTCCCACAGTGCTGCCGCCGCCGCCTCCGCCGCCTCCGCCGCCTCCGCCGCCGCCTCCGCCGCCTCCGCCTCCCACAGTGCTGCCGCCGCCGCCGCCTCCGCCGCCTCCGCCGCCTCCGCCGCCTCCGCCGCCTCCGCCGCCTCCGCAGCCGCCTCCGCCGCCTCCGCCGGTCGCACCGCCTCTGTCGTCCCTACCCGCTCCTCCCGCAGTGCTGCCGCCGCCGCCTCCGCCGCCTCCGCCGCCTCCGCCGCCTCCGCCGCCTCCGCAGCCGCCTCCGCCTCCTCCGCCGGTCCCTCGCCTCGGTGCCGCTTTAGTCTGTCGTGGTGCTGGAGTCGGTTGTCGTTGCTGGTTGTGCTGCTGGAGTTGGTGGTGGTGCTGTTGGTGTCGGTCAGCTGCTGCTGGAGTCCGTCGCGGTACAGCTGGTGGTGGCGTTGATGCTGCTGGAGTCACACTGGTGCTACAGGAGTGGGTCGCTGGTTGGTCGTAGTGCTGCTGGAGTTGGTGGTGGTGATGCTGGTGTCGGTCAGGTACTGCTGGAGTCGGTCGTGCTGCGCTGGTGTTGCTGGAGTGGGTCGCTGGCTGGTCGTGGTGCTGCTGGAGATTGTGGAGGTGCTGTTCGTGTCGGTCAGGGGCTGATGTAGTCGGTCGTGGTGCAGCTGGTGATGGCGTCGATGCTGCTGGAGTCGAACTGGTGCTGCTGGAGTGGGTCGCTGGTTGGTCGCGGTGTTGCTGGGATTGGTGGTGGTGCTGCTGGTGTCGGTCTGGCACTGCAGGGGTCGATCGCGGTGCAGCTGGTGATGACGTTGCTGTTGCTGGAGTCGCACTGGCGCTGCTGGAGCGGTTCGCTGGTTGGTCGTGGTGCTGCTGGAGTGGGTGGTCGTACAGTTGGTATCTGTCAGCGGCTGCTGGAGGTCGTGGTGCAGCTGGTGACGGCGTTGATGCTGCTGGAGTCGCACTGGTGCTGCAGGAGTGGGTCGCTGGTTGGTCGTGGTGCTGCTGAACTTGGTAGTGGTGCTGCTGGTGTCGGTCCGGCGCTGTTGGTGCCGGTCGTGATGCACTTGTGCTGCTGGAGTGGGTCGCTGGTTGGTCGTGGTGCTGCTGGACTTGGTGGTGGTGCTGTTGGTGTCGGTCTGGCGCTGCAAGAGTCGGTCGCGGTGCAGCTGGGGTTGGTGTGGATGCTGCAGGAGTCACACTGGTGCTGCTGGAGTGGGTCGCTGGGTGGTCGTGGTGCTGCTGGAATTGGTGGTGGTGATGCTGGTGTTGGTCAGGTGGTGCAGGACTCGGTCGTGCTGCAAAGGCGTTGCTGGAGCGGGTGTCTGGTTGGTCGTGGTGCTGCCGGAGTTGGTGGTGGTGCTGCTGGTGTTGATCAGGGGCTGCTGGAGTCAGTCGTGGTGCAGCTGGTGATGACGTTGATGCTGCTGGAGTCACACTGGTGCTGCTGGAGTGGGTCGCTGGTTGGTCGTGGTGCTGCTGGATTTGATGGAAGAGCTGTTGGTGTCGGTCCGGCGCTGCAAGAGGAGGTCGCGGTGCAGCTGGGGTTGGTGCGGATGCTGCTGGAGTCGCAACGGTGCTGCTGGAGTGGGTCGCCGGTCGGTCGCGGCGCTGCTGGGGTTGGAGGTCGTGGCGTTGTTGGTGTCGGTCAGGTGCAGCTGGAGACGGTCGCGGTGCAGCTGCGGTTGGTGTTGATGCTGCTGGACTCTCGTCGGGGTGCTGTGGCCCACTGCCGCCCCCCTCCGCACGTGCGCCGCTGCCGTCCCTCCCGTCAGCGCCGCCTCTGTCGCCCCTCCCCGCTCCTCCCACAATGCTGCCGCCGCCGCCTCCGCCGCCTCCGCCGCCTCCGCCGCCTCCGCCGCCTCCGCAGCCGCCTCCGCCGCCTCCGCCGGTCGGGCCGCCTCTGTCGTCCCTCCCCGCTCCTTCCACAGTGCTGCCGCCGCCGCCTCCGCCGCCTCCGCCGCCTCCGCCGCCTCCGCCGCCTCCGCAGCCGCCTCCGCAGCCGCCTCCGCCTCCTCCGCCGGTCCCTCGCCTCGGTGCCGCTGTTGTCTGTCGTGGTGCTGGAGTCGGTTGTCGTTGCTGGCGTCGGTCGCGGCGTCGGTCTGACCCCGGCCCTCGTCGCCGATCCTGGGCTCTTTGGCGGTGCCAGCTCACCTGCAGTTGTTGCGGCCCTCGACGCCGTAGCCATCTCTGCAACACTCGAGCCGCCCACGTCATGCGGGCCAGCATTTCCCCGCGAATCTGCCCGCACGTTCCCCACTCGGGCCGCGGGGTGTTGCAGCTGAGACGTCCACCAGTGCGCGCGCAACGGCCGCGAGCATGGCACGTGTCCGCACGAGCGGGATTGAGTCTGCCACAGAGCGGGTTGGGGCACTCCCAATCGCCAGCTATGACCTCGAAGTCCCTGAGAATGAGCCCCCCGCGCCGCCTCGCCTCAGTCGCGGCTCGCGCGCGCAGCTCCGGGCCGAATGCCAGAAGCCGTTGCTGGGCCGGGTTGGGCGTGACCTCCCCACGCAGCATCCGTCGTTCCAGGGCCGCTGCCTGCGCCAGCTTGCGCCGCAGCCACCGATGACCCCCCATCGTCGGCATGCCCGCCCTGGCCCAACTCGGCCGGCTGCGCCCGGCATCCTGGCGCCGCTCCCTTTACCAGGAAGATCTCCACCGCGCCTGGGCGACAATGCCGGAGGGCCCGCGGCATGTCGGGTGGGTGCCATTCGAACATATGCAAGCCAAACTCGACGTCTAAGCTCACCGAGTGCGTGTCGAAGTCGACTGTCCAATACCTGCGATGAACCTCCTGGTTGCCGATCGTTTGCATGGCGACGCCGATCCCCCGGAGCCGATGCTCCAGAGACAGGAAGATCCCACCCATGTCGTCGTCCTCCAAGCACGAGGGCTTCGTGATGATGTCGAACTGCTCGACGCCGAGCTCGATGGCCGCGCTCGTGATCTCATTCAGGCTGCGAACGTGGTTCGTCATCGTGTCGCTGCGGTGCTGGTCCGACATCAGGTAGGGCTCGATGATCTCGAGTCTCCTGGGCTGTCGCGCGGCATCCCGTGGGAGAGCACGGATCCCCTCCTGAAGCAGGCTCAAGTACGAGTGCCTTCTGGGGCCTCGAGGCCGCCCGCGTCCGATAAGCAGCCGCCCCACGTGTCGAGCCGACCGTCCGTCCCTCCACTCCCGGATCTGGGGCCTACCCGTTCGCCGTAGTCAGGCCGCTGCTCGCGCCCGTCGTCTGGTGACCACGTGCTGGGGTGGGTCGTAGTGCAGCTGCTTGGTTGCTGGGGTCGGCTGCATGGTGGTCGCAGTGCTCCTGGTTGCTCGCTCTGATGGTGCTAGGGTCGGTCGCCGGTTGGTCGCGGTGCTGCTGGGGCTGGTCTACGACTGCTGGCGTCGGCAAGGTCGTCTCTGGAGCTGGGTGCAGTGCTGCAGGAGCTGGCCGCTGTGCTAGTGCCTGGTCGCTGGCGTCGGATGGCGGTTGGTTGTGGTGCTGCTGGTTGGTGGCTCTGGTGGTGCTGGAGTCGGTCGCTGGTTGGTCGTGGAGCTGCTGGGGTCGGTCGCGGTGCTGCTGGTGCTGGTCAAGGTCTGCTGGTGTCGGCCGAGGTGCTGCAGGAGTCGGTCGTGGTGTTACTGGAGCTGGCCGCGGCGTTGCTGGAGTCGGTCGTGGCGTTGTTGGGCGGTCGCTGGGGTCGGTCGCTGGTTGGTCGCGGTGCTGCTGGTTGCTCACTCTGGAGGCGCTGGGGTCGGTCGCAGGTGGGTCGCGGTGCTGCTGGCTGCTCGCTATGGCGGCGCTGTGGCCGGTCACTAGTTCATCGCGGCGCTGCTGGAGTTGGTCGCAATGCTGCCGGCGTCGGTCTAGTGCTGCTGGAGTCGGCCCAGGTGTTGCTGGAGTTGGCCGTGGTGCTGTTGGCGCTGCTCGTTGTGCCTCTGACGTAGGTCGCTGTGCTGCCGTTTGGTCGCTGGGGTCGGTCGCTGGTTGGTAGGAGTGCTGCTGGTTGGTCGCTCTGGGAGCGTGGATTGCCGCTTGGTTGTGGTGGGGCTGGTTGGTGGTTCTGGTGGTGCTGGAGTCGGTCGCTGCTGAGTCGTGGAGCTGCCGGCGTCGGTCGTGGAGCTGCTGGTGTCGGTCTAGTGCTGAGGGCGATGGTCGTGGTGCTGCTGCTGGAGTTGGGCGTGGGTCGTGGTGCCGCTGGAGTTGCTGCTGGAGTAGGTCGTGGTGCAGCTGGCGTTGGTCGTGGTGCAGCTGGCGTTGTTGGAGTCGGTGTGGCGCTGCTGGCGTCGGTCGTGGTGCAGCTGGCGTTGGTCGTGGTCCTTCTCGCACGTGCCTGTCCCCGCCCGAGTCTGCAGCCACTGCCCACCCTTCTCGATGCCGGCCCTTGAGGTCGGCGAGAGCCGCGCCTGCACGCCAGGCCGCGAGAAGGGCCCGGGCGTCGTGGCGGCGCCGACGCGCGCGGCGCGCTGCGGCGGACTCCCTCGGTCCGTCCCTCTCCAGGCGCGGGAAGCCTGCGGAGGCCTCCCGCCTGCCGCCGCCCGTCATCCACGCCTGCGCCCCCGCACGCGTGCCCCGCGGGCAGGCCCAACCCTCCGTGCGCCCTGATGCACGGCGGATTGAGCCAGACGGCTTGAGCCAGAGGGATTCCTTTCGGTATTCTAGACGCTTCGCGTAACTCCACTTTGCTGGTGGAGTTACGCGAAACGTCTAGAATACCGAAAGGAATCCCGCGGCGGCGACGAGAAGGCTGCAAGAGACCCCTCTCCCCACAGAAGCGAGCCTGAAAACATCGAACTTCGATCCTCCCAGACCCTCCTCCTCCACCGATCGCCCCGCCGCGCCTTCCGGCTGGTCGCGCTGTACTCGGAGACCGGGATCTCGTCCGCGGCGACTGCTGGGCGCGCCGCCGCCGCGCATTGACGGGCTGGAGGCCGTCGTGGGTCGTCGTCGTCATCGTCGTCGTCGTGGGTCGTCGTGGGTCGTCGTCGTCGTCGTCGTCGTCGCCGTCGTGGGTCGTCGTCGTCGTCGTTGTCGTCGTCGTCTTCGTCGTCGACGTCGTGGGTCGTCATCGTCGTCGTCGTCGTCGTCGTCGTCGCCGCCGCCGTCACCGCCGTCGTCATGGTCGTCATCCTGGTCGCCGTCGTCGTCAGAAGGTTGGACCTCCATTCTGGACACATTTATCCTCCGTTATATTACATCATTCCTGGCGGTTGTCGATCCTCTGGGTCCCTCCTGCCTGGAGTCAGGAGGCCGCCTGACTACACTGAAGTTTTTCTTCTGCCCGAGCTAGAGGAGCAGACGCTGGACCATCGTGCAGCCGCGAGGTCGTCGTCATCGCCAAGGTCGTCGTCGTCGCCGTTGATCGTTGACGTTGTAGTCATGAGAACAGGTTGGCGACAGGGAAGAGGGTGAGCAAGACAAAGATCGAGGGTCGAAGTTCTGGAGGCAGAGAGGACACCAAGTTCGAATATCGAGCATATAGGTCTTTAGCGTTTTCCCCGAAACAACTTGTCTTCAACAAACCTTAATCACTTGTCTGAGGCCGGGCGTGAGCGAATACGGATCCAGAATCGGTGGCCCGTGGCCTGTGGTCTCCCGTATGGTCTCCCGTATGGTCTCCCGTACGATCTCCCGTGTGGTCTCCCGCATGCTCTCCCGCAGGATCTCCCACGTGTTCAGCACAACGAGGTGCTCTCTTTACCGTCTGGAGTCTTCTGCGGCCCCCAGAAGCCTCTGCAGGCCCCCAGAAGCCTGTGGAAGCCTCCAGAGACCTCCAGAGACCTCCGAAGGCCTCTTGTGACAGGGAAGAGGGATAAAGGCGATGCGGCCCTTGACAGAGTATCAGATCGAGCATTCTGGTGGTCAAGCCATGCGGGCTCAGAACCAAAAATCAACCTCGCAGCTCGGCTGTAGTCGAGAGGGTGCCGAAAACGTCGCATCTTTCGTCCTCGTCGTGAACTCATGCAATCTTGGCAAATCAGAGCTCGACTGCAGGATACCAGGGGACCTCTGACTCGTCTTAACCCGAATCGCGTCGAGCCTGGAAGAAACGTGGAGGTGGAGACCAGAAAGGGTATGGGTTCGGAAACGGAAGCTTTGGACACCACGACCACCATTCCCGGCCGGGGCCGTCCTCGGCCCTGGCCAGGGACAGCGGTGGTGCATGTGTGCCTTGTGCCTTCTGCAGGAACGGGAGTGGAAGGAAGGAACAAGAAAGATGTACCGACACCGATGCTCCCTGGACCTCTCTCGGGGCTGGCTCTGGCAAGGATCCCGAGGCGAGCGACGAGGGCTCTCCAGGACGCCCCCCCAAACGCACGAAGACCGGCGAGGGGAAGGGGAAGGAGGGCAGCGGCATCGCCACAATGTCGCCCCGCCCTCAAAAATCGAGCCCTGGACCTCTCAAGGAGCGTGTCCTGTCCAGATTTTCGAATGGAGGCTGTGGCGACGCGGAGCTCCAGGAAGGACTATCAAAACGCCTGCGCCCTCTCTCCCCGAACCTCGAACATCGAAACTCCACCAGTGGGGGACACGTAGGGGGGCTGCTTCTGGGGGCCTCCCGAAGCTCCCTGTGGATCCTGCGGACCGCCTCCGAAGGCATCCGGTCAGAAACAAAACCCCAAAGCAACCGAAGACACATCGATCCTCTCTCCTCCTCGTGCTTCTCGTCCCTCATCCTCCTCCTGTTCCCCCTCCTGCTCGCTTTTCCTGCTGCCTCCTTCTCCTCCTCCCCCTCCTCCTCCTCCTCCTCCTCCTCCTTCTCCTCCTCCCTATCACACCCCCAAACATATGGGGTGGGCGGGCCAGGCGTTTCGCCTGAGACTTCCTCGCAATTTATGAGCCTGGCAATTGAAAATTGCAGCAGCTTCAAGGATGGAGGGAAACTGGTCTTCAAAATGTGCCTCTCGGTTTAGTGCCGCGCACATCCGCAAACAGCTTACAACAGCTTCAAGGATGGAGGGCAACTGAATTTCTAAATGTAGCTCTCGCCTTAACGCCGCGCACATTCGCCTGAAAAAAAGCAGCTGGTGCAAGGATGGAATGCCATTCCTCTTCCAAATATGGCTCTGGCCTTAGCACCGCGCACCTTCGTCTTAAAAGTTCGCAACCGTTTCAAGGACTCGTATGGTTGAAGTCCCACGAGCAGGGTTCTGGCACGATGTCGGATTGTCAGGACGCAACAATCACGTTGATTCGCGGTGCAGACGGCTGTTTTCCAATGGGCCCTTCCCACAATGACAATGGATTCCTGTATGGACCCATAAGCAGAAAAACTGGAGGGAGGGTGTATTGCAACATCGTTGACGGTCCTTGGGTCTACAGTGGCCCTCCTCCTCGTCCTCCTCCACTTCCTCCTCCTCTTCCTCCTCCTTTTCCTCCTCCTCCTCCTTCTCCTCCTCCTTCTCCTTCTCCTCCTCCTCCTCCTCCTCCTCCTCCTCGTGCTCCTCATCCCCACCTTCTCCTCCCCTCTCTTCTCCCACCTCCCATCCTCCCTCCCCTCTTCCCTCCCCTCCTCACTCCTCCCTCCCCCTCCTGCCATGGAGCGAGGCGTGGAGGCCGCCGAAAAATCCTGAGAAACCCCGCGGGGCCAGCGCGAGGGCGCGCGGGAGGCGGGCCCTTGGCCGCGACCGCGGCTGTCCGCGCCGCGGAGTAGTTCACCACCTCGACCTCGGCGAGTAAAAAACTTCAGAAACCTTCTACATCCGATCCTAAATCGCACCTATCCTCCTCCTCCTCCTCCTCCTTCTCCTCCTCCTTCTCCTTCTCCTCCTCCTCCTCCTCCTCCTTTTCCTCCGTTTCCTCGTTTTCCTCCTTTTCCTCTTCCTCCTCCTCCTCCTCCTTCTCCTCCTCCTTCTCCTTCTCCTCCTCCTCCTTTTCCTCCGTTTCCTCGTTTTCCTCCTTTTCCTCTTCCTCCTCCTCCTCCTCCTTCTCCTCCATTCCTTTTCCTGATGCATAACTTCTCCCTGTCGCACCCCGAGGCCAGTTTTCAGGGCGGGCCGGGCGTTTCGCCATAGACTTCCTCGCTATTTATGGCTCTGAAGCTTGAAATTGGCAAGAGCTTCACAGATGGAGGGCGGGTGGTTTTCAGAATGTTGCTCTCGCCTTAGCGCCGCGCATATTCGTTCTAAAAGTTCGCAAGAGTTTCACGGATCGAGGGCGGCCCGTTTTCAAAATGTGGCTCTCGCCGTAGCGCCGCGCACATTCGTTTAAAGTTTGCAAGAGCTTCACGGGTTGAGGATAACCCGTTCGTTTTCAAAATGTGGCTCTCGCCCTAGCGCCGCGCACATTCTTCTATACAATTTCAAGAGTTTCACAGATCGAGGGCGGTTCCGTTCAAAATGTGGCTCTCGCCCTATCGCCGCGCAAACTTTTTTATAACATTTGCAGGAAATTCACGGATTCCCATGATCAACGTCACAGAAATGGTGTTTTGGAAGGATTCCGGAATTTGCGGGTGCAACGGTTACGTTGGTTCGCGGTGTTGTGTTGAAATCCCAAGAATGGCGTCCTGGCACGGTCCAGGATCGTCAAGGCGCAACAGTCAGGTGGATCCGTGGCGCTGGAATCCCGAGAACAATGTTTTGGCATGCTTCAGGGTCTTCAAACGGTTGTCTTCCAAGGAGGCACTCTCCTCAATGGAAATGAATTGTGATATGGGCCTAAGCAAAGGCAGCTTGGAGGGAGGGCGTATTCCAAAATCATTAATGGCTCTTGGGTTTACACTGGTCCTCCTCCTCCTGCTCCTTTTCCTCCTTCTCCTCCTTTTCCTCTTCCTCCCCCTCCTCCTCCTTCTCCTCCTCGGCTTCATCCGCCTCCTCCGCCTCCTCGTCCTCCTCATCATCCCCCTCCCCCTCCTCCTCCCCCTCCTCGTGCCGTCCTCCTTCTCCTCCTCCTCCTCCTCCTCCTCCTCTTCGTCCTCCTCCTTCTCCTCCTCCTCCTCCTCCTCATCCTCCTCCGCCTCATCATCATCATCATCATCATCATCATCATCATCATCATCATCATCATCATCATCATCATCATCATCATCATCATCACCATCACCATCACCATCACCATCACCATCACCATCACCATCATTATCATCATCATCATCAACAACATCACCATCACCATCACCATCATCATCGTCATCGTCATCGCCATCGTCATCATCAGTATCGTCATCACCATTAGTATTAGCATTATAATCACCCTCAGCGTCGTCATCATCATCAACAACACCATCATCACCATCAGCACCAGCATCTGCATCAGCATCAGCACCATCAGCATCAGCAGCATCCTCATCATCATCGTCATCGCCATCAGCAGCAACGCCATCACCACCATCATCATGATCATTATCATCACCAGCATCGCCATATTTGCATCACCACCATCATCATCATCATCATCATCATCATCATCATCATCATCATCATCATGATCACCATCCTCTTCGTCATCATAACCATCATCAGCAGCATCATCATAATCATCACCACCAGCATCATCAACATCATCATCCTCGTCATCATCATCATCATCATCATCATCATCGCCATGATCATCGACATTATTACCAGAAGCATCCTCCTCATCATCATCCTCCCCATCATCGTCATCATCATCAGCAGCAGCAGCATCAGCATCAGCATCAGCAGCATCATCATCATCATCATCATCAGCAGCATCATCATTATCATCATCATCAGCATCATCATGCCAGTCCTTCTACCAACATGCGCGCGCAACTGCGTCGCGTGCGCATTGGCGCCTGGCTCACGCACCCCACCCATGAGGCCCGCGCCCTCCTCGCAACCACTGCTTCCACGTACCACTTCGGGAACCATGTTTACGCGCGCCTTCCAGTGCGGCAGGGCCAACATGGGGCGACCTTCAGCGATCACATCGAGCCCCGTTGGCCCCGGGCAGCTGGGCGCCTCCGCTGATCATCAGACGCCCCGTCGGGCGGCGACCAGCGGGAACAGTGGCCAACGCTGCCCCGAAGGGCCGCGATTCACTGTGATGCCGCGACCAGCAACAGCAAGGAAGATAGCCCCGACGGGCCGCGATCCTCTGCGACGCGAGGGGTACTGGACCTACCCGGCGCGAGGGGTGGGCGCCACTGGGGCCCACTGAGCCTCTGGGGCCAACTGAGTCCCTGAGACCCCGACGACACACCCTCCACGAGAGCGGGGCACGGAGTTCCCCAGCAACGAGACACGGCACGGTCGAGGCCCATGTCTCCAGGCCGAAACGGCAGGGACATGGCCTTGGGGGCATTCGAAAGATGGGCACTGGGCGCGAACAGCCGCAGAGAAGCCGTCGCGCTAGTCGTTGCTCCCCCGCCATGCTCCCGCACGCTGAGCTGTGCATTCACCATGGCGGTCCTTGCATTCGCGGACGCGCGCCAGAGCGTCGCTCGCACGCGTTGGCGCTGGGCTCACGCATCCCACCCGTGAGGCCCGCGCCCTCCTCGCAACCACTGTTTCCACTCAGCACTTCGGGAGCCGTGTTTACGCGGCGTCTTCCGGAGCGGCAGGGCCAACAAGGAGCGACCTTAAGCGGTCGCATCGGGCCCCGTCGGCCCGGGGGCCACTGGGCGCCTCCGCTGATCATCAGACGCCCCGTCGGGCCGCGACCAGCGGGAACAGTGGCCAGCGCTGCCCCGAAGAGCCGCGATCCACTGCGATGCGCTGATCATCAGACACCCCTTCGGGCCGCGACCAGTAAGGGCAGGGGCCAACGCTGCCCCAAAGTGCCGCAAGCCTCTGCGACGCGACTGGCACTGAACCTACTCGCCGCGAGGGGTGGGCGCAATTGGGGCCCGCTGAACCTCGGGGGCCAACGCGGCCCACCAGGGCCAGTCTCTGAGATCCCAACGACACACTCCAACTCTCCCCTTTTTCTTCTGGATAGAAAGCCATCAGAGAATGGATGGGTTCGGCTTGTGTTCGGGATTCGGTTTTTTGCTATGTATGGGGCCAAGGGGGCCAGGCGGACAGCTACAACGACGACGGCTATGGCGACGAGGACGAGGGGGAGGAGGAAGAAAACGACAACGAGGGGGCGGAGGGCCAGCACCCCCATCCGTCCTATCGGCCCAAGCCAAGAGCGAAACGCATCGGGGTCAAATTGGAGCCATATTGACACAATCTTGGAGTCGTCAACTAAGGTTTGAAGGGGCCATCCTGTGGCAATCTCGAAGTCGTCTCGGGCTCATTGGGTCGTCCCGGGACCACCTAACATCGGGGTCACGCGGTAGCCTTAGTTCAGTCGGAAAACAATGAGTTCGTCTCGGTGCTCCCTTGAGACCGCAGGGTCGCTCTGGGGTCAAATTGGGGCCATTGCTCAGCAGGGGTGGGCATATTGGGGCGACAGGGGTAATCTCGTGGTCCTTTCAAAACCCTGTTGGGTCCGTCCATCTTGGAATCATCCTTCCGTTGCTGCCTCTCTCGTTGATACAGATGTTGCTGTTGCTGCTGGCGTCTATGCTGCTAGTGCTGCCTGGGCTGCAGGTGGTGCTGGTGCTGGTGCTGTGTGAAATTTCGGAGCCTCTTGGAGACATCTTTGTTGTGCTTTTGTTGTGCCAAAGGGGGCTCATGAGGCTTCAGAGACTCAGGGCCACAGTCCGATGATGAAGAATGCCGTGCCACCTCCCCAGTGGCACAGCGGCCTGTGCCGAGGGCCAACGTTCGGGAGCACCCACTGTCTTCGGCCCAGGCCAGTATGTTCAGCCAGGCCCTTGGTTCCACGCTGCCTGCGCGCCACTGTGCCTCCGACACCGTGAACGGATCCGAGCAGCGAAGATGAGACCTGGCTGCCCTCTCGCACCCAGCCGCCAGGCGTTGTGCAAGAAATAAAAAGCTTCACGCATCGACGAAAAACGAACATCAGCTTCAGAACTGAGACGAGGCGCCGAAAAGAGGAGGTGAGAGAACCAATCATGCCCATGTTGCGGCACCTCATCTCGGGCGCAGGGTTCCAGCATCGCCCGCATCCGCGGGCACACCGAATAGTGTGGTAGGCAATCTGTGCCCCTCACATCTCTGCAACAAAATAAGCAGTGCCTCGTCGCAGACCTGAAACGCGAAGAAGTGCAAAGGCCTCGGCGCGCCCAGCGAACCTGAGAGGTGGCAGGGCGCGGGCTAGTGGCACGGCTAACTCTCTGCAGGCGAAGGAGCATGTTCGGCGGGGCCTAAAGAAGGGACCTCGGGGAGCCACTTGTCCACGCGCGCTTTTAAGATCTGGAGGGCCGACCGCCCAGGACGCCGACACATACGAGTGAGGTAGGAGAACAACTTACGTTGGACATGTTTCCACGGGACCGTCGGGGGAAGTTCGAGGATGACAGGTGGCAACTCACCGCGTGCCACAGACATATGGCATGCGATACTCTTCCGCCACCAGCCCCCAAGACATCGTGCAATACAGCATTCATCAGATCGCATAAATTCTCTAATTCCACCAAGCTCAGCGCGGAAGTCGGGGCAGAACGTAGCGCAGCGTGCACGAGCAGCCAGCCAGTCCGACATGCGGCAGATGCTTGAGCCCACTCCTTCCCCCACGCAACGCGAGCCCCTCCAACAGCTCATGCGGCATGGCATTCCAAGGGCAATTGGTCAGCATCTGCGCACAACGCTTGGAAGCCCGCACCAATTGCTCCGAAGGCGGGTAGGACT